AGAGTCTTGCAAGAAGATTACTGTGCAAACCCTAGGGACGGTATTTATAGGAGTCTCCACAAGGTCCCCAATCCAATGGTGATGGAGGTTACACTTGGTGACATCCGGACCGTCCATAAATCAGGTAAGTAGAAACACAACTTCTTCATTTCTCAAACACGTTTCTTGCACCATAAAACAGATTTTGGGCTGGGCTTAAATTCCAGCTGGGCTAACTCAAATGGCCCATTGGGTCATAGCATCATTGTGCCAAATTTCCTTTCAATCAATCTTATAATAATTTCTTTTGTAGTGGGCAAGGGCTCCCCCTTTCTTTGGGTACTTTATATGAAGGCACATTGTCCTATTATTCAACCTCGACAGGGAGGAAAGGGACCCTTTTTTTTCTATAATAATTTGTTTTGGTAGTTTACAGATATCAATTTATTGTGAAATTGACCGCTATATATTTGATAGATCACTTCTAGAAGCATGGTTTTATAATTGTGGTTTCATTTGAAATCAATTCCAAAAAATAAATAAACAAATTGGGAACAATTGACAATTATCTCTGTTGCGAGTCGACTTTGCTCTATCAGTTTCACATGTCATTAATGTCCGAAAAGAGAGAGTTGGCCAATAATATGGCTTGCAAGAAGAATTTACCACACATAATATTTTCTTATTTTTCTAAGACTTGATGAATTGGATAAGACAATTAGCAAATTTCATTAAAAATCATGTTCTTATTTAATGTACAATATTATTCAATTTATCATTCCAAACACGATTACGATTAATAATAATTATATTTCAAGACAACGAGACGACGAGACGTAATAAATAGTACCTACTCACTGGATTTATATACTCATATCTATATTCAAATGTTTTCTTTATGAGGTAGTGAATGAGTTTTGGCAACTTGAAGAGTGCGACGATTTCAACTTAGTCACAAGACATGTTCGGTTTGCATGACTCTTTTGAGGAAGCAAACATGTACACGTGCATTCTTTAGAAATAAATCATAGTCCGTGTTGAAGAATCAAAGTGTATATTCCTTTTTCTTTTTTTTTCTTTGTTATTGTATTAATAAATTCAACGTGTTGAAGAAGAACAAACGAAGACAATCACAATATCCATTTTTAGGGCATTTATTTCTCTTTGAAAAATGATTTCATTTTCATTTTTCAATGAGATTTTTGAATAATTTATTTTTTGTTTAAGAAAGAATATTTACTCCTCTATAAAGAATTAATGAAACAAGTTTTTGAAACTTAAAAAGGCAATTTTTGTTAGATTGAAAGTTTATCAAAGAATGCCAAATCTTAGCAAGTTCTTGTTGATACTTTGTTTATTCCTGCATGAGCTTGTTCCATTTCTTCATCACCTTCATTTTTGCAGAAGTTCTTGTGTAAGTATTTCGTAGTAAAGGATTTTTATTTAGGACACTGAATTATTTTTTGAATTATTCTAATTGTACATCAAGAATTGTACATAAGGGTCTACACCCCCCTCACATGAGGGGTGGGATCCATTGAAATAATATTTTTTTATTCGAGCGGGTCCCACCCCCATGTGAGAGGGGTGTAAACCATTATGTATGGGGTGATGTACCCCTAGCAATGCTCTTATTTTTTATGGATCATTTGTGGGTTCTTCGGAGCTTAGGGATTTCAAAACTTCGGTCTAAATCCAACCCGAACGAGTAGAATATTTGATAAAAATTGGTAGGATAAAATTGGTAGAATATGTCGTGATATTAACATATTGAATTCTTCAATGTCAGCCATCTAATCATCCCTTGAAAATATTAACTTGTGAAAAGCAAACTTTATCAATTATTTTACATGATAATAAAGTTTGATGACTGTCTATCAAACTTGACCATAACTTGAGTGGTTGACAGTGTTGTAACTGGACTGCTTAGTAATTGGATATTTTTTTATTAGGGCCCACTTTTAGAGGCTCGCTCAAGAATCAACCATGATGTGAAGGAAAAGGGAGAAAATTAAATAAACTAATTATTTACATCGTGATTAGCTTATTTAAGAATTTGTTCCAACTTTACTACAAAGTAGTACACAATTATTTTGGCATTGCTCAAGTGACAATCTAATTGCCCATCAAATCAAGAAATGTCACGCGCGTCAATATTAAACGCTCGACTCTTTCATATGTTAGGAGCTATCACCTTACATGGACACATCAGCCTTAAATTCACAACAAATCTTCGACCATTATAAACCAACCCAGAAGGTGGCCACCGTTTGGCTACAAGTGAAGTCTGAACATTTATGTATTGCATCTATATGACTAAGTTTGGAGCCAAATTTGAATACCATTTGTCAAGAATTAAGATTCCATTGTAAAAAAGTGTGAAATTTACAAATGATTTAAAAGTTTAGTTAAAGTCAAACATTAATTCAATCCATACATCACAAATACTATTCATTATTATCCACACATTTCGTGAGATCTACTGCTATTTCTATCTATAAATGTAGATATAAATTTTCCATATGGAGGCTAAGCAATGGGACACAATTTCTACTATAAACCCATTACTTATAATATATCTAGCTAATGTGGAACTTTATATGCACTTTGTTGTATTTTTTCATTGTATTTATCAATCTTATAATAATTTCTTTTGTAGTGGGCAATGGCTCCCCCTTTCTTTGGGTACTTTATGAAGGCACATTGTCCTATTATTCAACCTCGACAGGGAGGAAAGGGACCCTTTTTTTTCTATAATAATTTGTTTTGGTAGTTTACAGATATCAATTTATTGCGAAATTGGCCGCTATATATTTGATAGATCACTTCTAGAAGCATGGTTTTATAATTGTGGTTTCATTTGAAATCAATTCCAAAAAATAAATAAACAAATTGGGAACAATTGACAATTATCTCTGTTGCAAGTCGACTTTGCTCTATCGGTTTCTCATGTCATTAATGTCCGAAGAGAGAGAGTTCGCCAATAATATGGCTAGCTAGAAGAATTTACCACACATAATATTTTCTTATTTTCCTAAGACTTGATGAATTGGATAAGACAATTAGCAAATTTCATTAAAAATCATATTCTTATTTAATGTACAATATTATCCAATTTATCATTCCAAACACGATTACAATTAATAATAATTATATTTCAAGACAACGAGACGTAATAAATAGTACCTACTCACTGGATTTTAGGGATGGCAATTGGGCGATGCGGGGCGGGGTCCTTTCCCCGTTTAAAAAAAAATCATAATTTATTTTTATTACTCATATTCATTAGATTTAAACAAATAATTTTAGTTACTATTTTCTATTAGAACTAATGAAAATTTTCATTTCAAGTATTGAATTCTAAAAAAATATATAAAAAAAGTAAAAAATTTTAACGGGGCGGGGCAAAATTCTCCTCCCCGTTACCCGATTAAACGGCTTATTCCTGTCCCGTTCTGGGGCGGGGCCCCGTGAATATCGGGTTTGTCGGGTTTTTTTGTCATCCCTACTGAATTTATATACTCATATCTATATTCAAATGTTTTCTTTATCATGTAGTGAATGAGTTTTGGCAACTTGAAGAGTGCGACGATTTCAACTTAGCCACAAGACATGTTCGATTTGCATGACTCTTTTGAGGAAGCAAACATGTACACGTGCATTCTTTAGAAATAAATCATAGTCTGTCAGAGCCAACTCAAGGTATTAGGCAAGAAAGGCGGTCACCTAAACCGGCCCCAATATTTCTATAATCACTTTTGTCTTTTTATAATTTAGTAATATTTTGTAAAAAAAAATTGGAAATAAAACCAAACCAATAGACAACATCACTGCCCAATAAAACCCCAAATTGTTTTACTAGTTTCAAGAATCAAGGTGTCTATTCCTTTTTCTTTTTCTTTTTTTCTTTGTTATTGTATTAATAAATTCAACGTGTTAAAGAAGAACAAAGGAAGACAATATCCATTTTTGGGGCATTTATTTCTCTTTGGAAAATGATTTCATTTTCAATGAGATTTTTGAATAATTTATTTTTTGTTCAAGAAAGAATATTTACTCTTTTATATAAATTTAATCAAAAATGTTTTTTGTAAATTAAAAGGCAATTTTATTTTTTTTTTGTTAGGTTGAAAGTTTATCAAAGAATGCCAAATCTTAGCAAGTTCTTGTTGATACTTTGTTTATTCCTGCATGAGCTTGTTCCATTTCTTCATCATCTCCATTTTTGCAGAAGTTCTTGTTTAAGTATTTCATAGTTAAAGGATTTTTATTTAGGACACTGAATTATTTTTTATGGATCATTTGTGGGATGTGATAAATAATTGGGATAATGACAATGAAAAAACAAAATATCTGACATCTCCATTGATAATATAGAATAATGATCTAATCATTAATTTTGCATTTCAGAAGGCAAGAAAAATAATTTTTATTATGAAATTTTATCCTAAATATTTATTGCTTCTCTCTTTATTAATAAAACGATATTTTCGTCGACATGAGTATTATTTTCCTAAAAAGGTCCCCTCAAAATATTTTGCTGAGGCCTCGAGTGCCTCGAGCAAGCTCTATAATGGTGTCATCCATCATCTACGCATGTCAAAATTTACGATGGAATTCAACTGCAATTTCATGTTCGAACGGTAGTTGTTGCAGTTGATTCTAGTCAAGCTGAGTTAAACTTTCAACCGGTCTATTTGTTTTCAATTCTGCTACATGTTTGCACAACTAGTTGATCGACTGGCATTCTTAATTCTATATACTATATATGGGCCATGCAATAATTTCTTATAGGGACCTATATACACCCATATATATCTATATATACACATACGTCTCATTTCTCCCTTCCAAACCAACCCATACCTCTCTCTCTCTCTCTCTCTCTCTCTCTCTCAAGGGTTAAAAAAAAAAGAATGGGAGTTGAACCATTTTGTCCACCGTTGATAGCCAAGAAATTATGGAACGTAGTTAGAATAGTGTTCCACATGATGAGAAAAAGCATATCAAAGAGTAAGCTAATGTTTGATCTCCATATGCTCTTAAAGCGTGGAAAAATAGCCATCGACAACCTCTTGCTCCACCACCACCACCACTATTACGCCGCCCTCACCTGCCGCTCCAACGACGTCAACATGTCGTTCGTGACACCTCGAGAGTACGAATTCAGCTGCAGTAACACCCTGGTTTACCACTCCAAGAGCAAAAACCGCCACCAGCGCCGCCACGACCGTGTGGAAAAAATAAATGTGGTTGTGTTTGATATGTTGAATCATTACGATGCGGTGGAATTATCTCCATTGACGACGCTCCCAGGATTCGGGGTTAGCCCGGTGGTGAGGCAGTTGAGGGTGACAGATTCACCATTTTCATTGAAGGATACAGAGGAGTATAACTACCAAGTGGATAAGGATGCTGAAGAGTTCATTAAGAAATTCTACAAGGATTTGAAGAATGAAAAGAGAATTGCTGCCTTGGAATCACCTTCCCCAAATCACATAAGGGCTAGGATGAAAATATGAAATTAAAAAAAAAATCGTGATGTATTGTGAATTTTCGAATGGGATTTGTGATAATGTGCCATCTTCGACATGGTAAAAATCCCGTGACTTGGACCTTGATAATGTTATCTGTATCAATTTCATGTGAGTTAGAGGTCGAAGGTACCTTGTTGGCTTTCACCCCAAATTCCAGTAATAAATCTAATTTCTATACTACTCAAATTCTTGCATATTACAATAAAGAAATGCACACACACACATATATATAGAGCAACGCCACATCAACAGGTGGACATTATAACCACTGTCCACTGTAGACCAGAGATCTTTTTGATATACATATTTTTTTGTAAAAGAAATAAAGAAATATTGTTACATATCAAAAGAGACCACCCCTTGTTGCTTTAACGTTTGATATGCTAATTGCCTTTAAAATTTGGTGGATTACAAGGTCAGTATTTTATTTGGTTTTTACGACTTTTCTCTTTGCAAAACGGTCATCTTAGTTGTGTTCCGTATTTCTTGGGTCCATAGGTTGTCGGGAGGGCACGTTTCATTTATAATGGAGAGAGCAAACAAAGAGTAACTATATGTTGAACACGATATAATAATTATAAGCTAAACGTGTAACTATACTATCCTCGATCATAATTGTGAATGCAAAATAAATTCATGCTAGGGCCCAATTCTTAGTCGACAACACATACGCGTGCTACACGGTCCAAATCCAATAGACGATATAGATAAATGACCTCATTATATTTAAGGATGTCAATGATCTAATAAGCACTGATAATTAGATTGATATATCAATTTATTGATAGGTAACAAATTTAATTCAAATAATGAGACTCGTCATAAACTTATTCACGAATATATATAGTTTATAGGAAAACATGTCACATACAATAGTTTTTTCTTAAAAAAAAAATTAATGAATACACATTACAGTATTTTTTATTTTTCTCGACTTTAACATATTAAGTGCGAGTTTGTCAAGTTTATAATTGATTATAGGAAAAATCTCCACTTACAAGAAATTTTTAACAGAGTCAATACAGGGGGGACAAGTTTTCTGTCTTAGCCAATTACACGAGAATAGGTCCATGTCCCCTTGTATTGACCTCGTAAAAAATAACTTGTACTTATAGTGCTTCTTTTGATTATAATTGTATAACTTAAGAAATGTATATACAATAAGTAAGTGTTATAGATTACATGAAATATTTGGATAAAAATAGAATTTGATTTAACTTATAAGTAATTATAAATTTTGCCAAACATGCTATTAATGCGTAATAGTTGTGAGTAGGTGTATAGAATATTGGTATATAGTACCGTTCGTGTGGACGCCAATAGGATACCTTTGTGTGGTCTGCAGGTAGTGTAGAATCTTGGTTGCTTGTCGCTTAGGTAAACAGTCATCTTCTCTGGGTTGGTCCAGGTTGTCCAATTATAATTGGATATATTGGAATATCTGGTTTTCATAAATAGACATTTATCATCATATTAAATTATATTTACCTTAAATTATTTAGAGCCTGTTTGTTTCCAATTAAAATTCAATTAAAATTGAAAATATGATCGTTATTGGGTCCCATTCGTCTAATAAAAGTCAACAATAACGGCTAATTTTTCAATTTTAATTCGATTTTAATCTCTACCGAACACGCCCTAAGTAATTAGGATGTCAATGATCTAATAAGCACCGATAATTAGTTTGATATATCAATTTATTGATAGGTAACAAATTTAATTCAAATAATGAGACTCGTCATAAACTTATTCACGAATATATATAGTTTATACTAAAACATGTCACATACAATAGTTTTTTCTTAAAAAAAATTAATGAATACACATTACAATATTTTTTATTTTTCTCGACTTTAACATATTAAGTGCAAGTTTGTCAAGTTCATAATTGATTATAGGAAAAATCTCCACGTACAAGAAATTTTTAACAGAGTCAATATAGGGGAACAAGTTTTCTGTCTTAGCCAATTACACGAGGATATGTCCATGTCCCCTTGTATTGACCTCGTAAAAAATAATTTGTACTTGTAGTGTTTCTTCTGATTATAATTGTATGACTTAAGAAATGTACATACAATAAGTGTTATAGATTACATGAAATATTTGGAGAAAAATAGAGTTTGATTAACTTATAAGTAATTATAAATTTTGCCAAACATGCTATTAATACGTGATAGTTATGAGTAGGTGTATAGAATATTGGTATATAGTACCGTTCGTGTGGACGCCAATAGGACACCTTTGTGTGGTCTACAGGTAGTGTAGAATCTTGGTTGCTTGTCGCTTAGGTAAACAGTCATCTTCTCTGGGTTGGTCCAGGTTGTCCAGTTATAATTGGATATATTGGAATATCTGGTTTTCATAAATAGACATTTATCATCATATTAAATTATATTTACCTTAAATAAGTATCTAAAAATCTATTTTTGATTTGGATTATTTAGATTCTATTTGTTTCCAATTAAAATTAAAAATATAGCTGTTATTTGGTCTCACTCGTCTAATAAAAGTGAACAATAACGACTAATTTTTCAATTTTAATCCGATTTTAATCTCTACCGAACACGCCCTTAGCATATTTGACAAGAATTTAGTGGGTAAAAATACTTGTCCATTTTACCTATTCTTCATTTTTATCGATGGAACAAAGTTATTAAAAAATACAACTTAAACGATGGATTTACGAAGATTCATCGTTCTCAATTATAAAATTTGTCGTTAATATCTAATAAAAGCAGGGAAAAAATCGACCCGACCCGACCCACACCGTCATAAAGTTCTTATAAAAGAAATAGAAGCACTCTCAAATAGGCCGTAAATCTCCTATTGAAAATGACCCTAATTTAACACAAACTAAATTTTTTTC